TCCGGGCGACTGCTGACCTTTCAGATACGTGGTCAAGTCCATCGGCGCCAAACATGGCATCACGCCAGCATTCATGGCAAAACCACGCCAAGGTTTGCCCGGCAACAGCGGACACATGCATATCTCGCTAGTTACGAAAGATGGAAAGAATGCTTTCCTTCGCCCTACGCCCGACCCATCGCCGCCCTATCCAGACGTAGCGCACCTCTCCGATTTGGGAAGACACTTCTTGGCAGGTATCCTGACCGGCCTTCCGGATATCATGCCTCTTTTTGCACCGACGATCAACTCATACAAGCGGCTGGTGGAGAACTTCTGGGCCCCGGTTACCGTATCCTGGGGTCTGGAGCACCGGGCCGCTTCCATCAGGCTGATCACCCCGCCCACATCCAGCCCGAAAGCAACTCGATTCGAGGTGCGCGTGCCGGGAGCAGACGCGAACCCGCACTTTGTCCTAGCCGCTATCGTCGCATTGGGTTGGCGCGGCGTCGAAAAGAAGCTGGAGATTCCCGTCCCGCCTCTGTCCAAGGGCGAGGACATGGGTGGTGCCAGCGATCAAGGCGTTCGTTTGGCCAAGTCATTGAAGGAGGCGACGGTTGCATTCATGCGCAAAGACAGCGTCGCACGAGAGGTATTTGGTGATGCATTCGTGGAACACTTTGGGGGGACCCGAGAACATGAGGTGCACCTGTGGGAGGAAGCGGTGACTGATTGGTTTGTGTTCTCTCCACATGCATGACAACTGAAATTATGCTAACACAGCTGACAGGGAGGTGCGACGGTACATTGAGACGGTCTGAACGAGTCTGATGCCCCTACGGTCCAAGGCGGTTGTAAATATCACTTCTAGTCTTTTTACCTTGATCATGCTGTACTTTCCAATTGATGTCTGAGCGTGTTGTGGGTTGATTGATACCATCCAGATAGTATGAAGTACTCCGTAAAGCTTGATAAATCCTCTCTCTCTGGCACTCATCATTCAAGTCTGAAACATAGACCCCGTTTGCTCCCGAGAGTAATCAGATCGGAATGTGGCCCGGAAGCTAGAGCTTCTTGTTCTCGAGCTACAGAATATCACATGCAGCGACCATCACATGTCAACACGCAAGGTCGCAAATGCCGTCAATCGCTAGATATAACAGTTCGGTTACGGAGTCAGTATTCAGCCAAAGAATAATCTGTATAGTTGATATTGAGATTTCTCAGGGATGTCTCTTGAGTGTTGGGTGGTGAGTTGTGACGTTGATAGTAGGTAGTCCTGAAGATTGACTCCATCGGGACAAGTCGGGCAGGGCAGCCTGAGGCAGCGACTAGGCCGAAACGCAAGATGCAGGGTTCAGGCCCAGATCATACTGACGTCGAACCGCGGCTGCCAACGCCCAGTGGGAGATCTCGGGCATGCGGGAGAAATCCCTCGGTTGATTTGATTCGGAACTGGAGATGATACCTTCAGTCATGAACTGTTAGTCTGTATTGAATAGGTATTGACCAGTGCACCGAAAGAGCCGAACAATTTATCCATTTATACTACTCCAAGCGAGCAACTGGTCTTGAATATGTTCAATGATTATATATAGTAATAGTAATAGCAGCGGATGATAGTACTTGTGCCGATATCGATCGGTATACGGCGGCCCCCGGGTGAGGGGAAGCGTCAGACACCTCAGGCAGGACGCGGGGAGTCGGCCGAAAGATCAGGACGCGCTAGTAAGATAAATGGTAATTTATCTTTCCGCATCCGTCTTAGTGCGAGAGATGTCCGCGGGAAAGTCATGTGACCGGCCCAAGCTCCTCTCGAGCTTCCCCCAAAGAGGTCAACTTCCGCTCATCCAGCGCTGGTTGTGCACGATGACTGGCTGTTTGTCCATCAGTGATAGGAGGTTTTCCACAGTTTCCCTCAGAAACGCTTCCCCATATCATGAGAGTAACTTACAGATTACAGCTGGATGACTGGAATGGAAGTGGGTGGCTTACCGATGCCCTGCAAGGTTTCCATAGTTCGCCCATGGTTGGTCCAAACTTCCAATGGGCCGCGGTTGTTCATCGTTCTGACGTATTCTCCGTTCTTGCTCCCGAAGAAACTATGCATGCGTCCTTCTTATATATTGTCTGGTCTAGACGCTGTGCTCTGATTTCTTCTCTTCTTCCTTCTTGAACTTTATTTGGGTGACTTCTCTTCATCCATCACATCATCATCAGCCATCCATCATCATTGGAGAGAGTAGTATTGGACGACCCCCAATATCAACATGAGCCAAATCGAAGTACAGCTCAAGGATGTCGCCATCCTGGGCGCCGTGAATAACGAGCATCGCAAGATTCTCACCAAGGAGGCCTGCGCTTTCCTCGCCATCCTCCACCGCACCTTCAATGCTACCCGGAAAGCTCTCCTCCAGCGCCGTATCGATCGCCAGGCCGAGATCGACAAGGGCCATCTGCCTGACTTCCTCCCGGAGACCAAGCACATTCGTGACAATGACGCCTGGAAGGGTGCTCCTCCCGCGCCCGGTCTGGTTGACCGTCGTGTGGAGATCACTGGTCCCACGGACCGCAAGATGGTCGTCAACGCTCTGAATGCGGATGTCTGGACTTATATGGCGGATTTCGAGGGTGAGCCACTTTGCATTTGGCTAGATTCGAAGGCAGACTGACAGCCATAGACTCGAGTGCCCCCACCTGGTCGAACATGATCAACGGCCAAGTCAACTTGTACGATGCCATCCGCCGTCAGGTCGACTTCAAGCAGGGAAACAAGGAGTACAAGCTCCGCACAGACCGCACCCTTCCCACCCTGATCGCCCGTGCTCGAGGCTGGCACCTTGACGAGAAGCACTTCACCGTTGACGGCGAGCCTATCTCCGGCAGTTTGTTCGATTTTGGTCTCTACTTCTTCCACAACGCCAAGGAGCTGGTTGCTCGCGGCCACGGTCCTTACTTCTACCTCCCCAAGATGGAGTCTCACCTCGAGGCCAGACTCTGGAATGACGTCTTCAACCTCGCTCAGGACTACATTGGCATGCCCCGCGGAACCATCCGTGCTACCGTGCTGATTGAGACCATCACTGCTGCTTTTGAGATGGATGAGGTGAGTTTCACGATACTCTACAGCTCGCTCGCTCTGTACTGACATGCGCAGATTATCTATGAACTGCGTGACCACAGCTCTGGTCTCAACTGCGGCCGCTGGGATTACATCTTCTCCTTCATCAAGAAGTTCCGCAAGCACCCCAACTTTGTCCTTCCCGACCGCTCCGACGTCACCATGACCGTGCCTTTCATGGATGCCTATGTGAAGCTGCTCATCAAGACTTGCCACCGCCGTGGTGTTCACGCTATGGTAAGCCTCGCTGCCCCCGATCAAGCAAAGAAGAAACTGACCATCGCAGGGTGGTATGGCTGCTCAGATCCCCATCAAGGACAACGCCGCCGCCAACGACAAGGCCATGGAGGGCGTGCGCGCCGACAAGCTGCGTGAGGTCCGCGCCGGCCACGACGGTACCTGGGTCGCTCACCCCGCTCTCGCCGCCATTGCCTCCGAGGTCTTCAACAAGTACATGCCTACCCCCAACCAGCTGTTTGTCCGCCGGGAGGACGTCCACATCACCGCCAACGACCTGCTCAACACCAACGTTCCTGGCAAGATCACTGAAGAGGGTATCCGCAAGAACCTGAACATCGGTCTCTCGTACATGGAGGGCTGGCTCCGCGGTGTTGGCTGCATCCCTATCAACTACCTGATGGTATGTCTCCTTTCCACTTTTTATTTGCGACAGACTAACCGAGAGTAGGAGGACGCCGCTACCGCCGAAGTGTCCCGGTCTCAGCTCTGGCAGTGGGTCCACCACCAGGTCACCAGCTCCGAGGGCAAGAAGATCGACAAGGCCTACGCTCTGCGTCTGCTCCAGGAGCAGGCCGACAGCCTGGCCGCCAAGGGCCCTAAGGGTAACAAGTACCAGCTGGCGGCCCGCTACTTTTCCAGTCAGGTGACGGGTGAGGATTATGCGGACTTCCTTACCAGCCTGCTGTACAATGAGATCTCGACCACGGGTACTGCGTCGAAACTGTGAGCATTCGGATGACAGATTGCATGATTGATGATTCCCCTGTACTGTACATTTTTAGCATCAATATATTGGTTTGAGTAATTTTCCAAGTTATCCTGTAGATCGATAGACACAAACTGTGGCAACCAGAAAATGGCTTGATCTTTTGACGTATTATCAGAGACAATTGCAAAGGCTGTATCTGTTCAGCACATTGTAGATACAGGCTGACAAGACCGAAGCAAGAAATCACTTCACTAGCTCAAACAAGTCGGACATTCATCGACTCATCTTGATGTTCAAGACAACGAAGAAGCGATGTGACCGTTTTCGAACCAATCGAATTAATGTTCCATCACAACGAGTCACCAAGTCGAGATTCTTTGTATCATAATGCCATTGTGCATGCCTCGCTTTGTCTTTTCCTCGACTGTCTTTCTTTGTTCGCAGAGCCTCGGGCTGTTCCCTCGCTGCGGAAGTGACTTAGACAATGCCTTTGACACGGGATGTCTCGATCCATCCGGTGTAAAAGACATCTCTTCCCTCGCAGCTTCTCTACTCGTATGCCATCCTTCGTGTCTCCGATGTCTCTTGGTATCGTGTCTGGGACATCTGTCTTCATCTTTCAGGTCAAGATGTCTCTTTACAAGACATCGCCGTCGCGTTCAGCCGTTGTATCAAAATGCTGATAGATGTCTAGTATCGACAAGATTGTGTCTCATCTTCTGCTCGCGATGGATATAAATTTCGTGAGAAATCCCGTCAAGATGGACTTTCTTCTTCATCACCATCATCCTTTTGGATATTCTTACTCTTGACTCTTCTCTCTGCTCTGTTCCTGTTCGAACTACGCATCTACAACAACCACAACCGCATAACCTCCACGCCTTCAATGGCCACTTTCTACCTCTTCTATCAAGTACACAAAAACGGTAGGACAGACAAAGATAAATCACAATGTCCTCCCAACAGCCCACCGACTACCACGACCCCTCCGCCGCCCGCATCATCCCCGTCGACGACTGCCCAACCTACGAAACGGGCTACAGACCCAACCTCCACGGCCAACGCACCTGGTGGGTCTTCTGCCCGGTGACCGGCCTCTTCCAGAACGACTACTCCCTCCTCGGCGCCATGATCGAGTGCGTCGCGCGCGGCCAGGCCACCTTTGCGCCTGCCTGGGACCGCACCTTCGCGGGCGGGATCTGGTATGATTTCGATTGCAGTGCTGATGTTCTGGAGATGCAGCAGCTGATGGGTGCGGCTATTAGTGATATGCAGAGACGGCTCGAGACCTATATGTATACGAGTGATGGGCAGATCGGGTATAAGCCTGCCTTGGGGTTTCGGTAGGTGGGTATTTGGTGTTTGGTGATGCTGATGCTGACGGTATAGATTGAGAGTCTGGTTGGGTGAGGAGGATGAGGGGATTGGGAGATTGGTAGGTATGTTTCCTTGGTTGTTGGTATTGCTGGTTTGGTTTGTTGCGCAGTTGGTTTTGTTTGGTTGAGTTGCTGCTTGAGTTATCATGTCATTGCTGGTTCGGGTATTGTTTGATCTGCTCGACTGCTATCCGATGCGCTCCTTTGAATTACGACAATGAATTGAGTTCTTCGACGCGAATGTTCCCAATACTGAGAAGTAATATGTAGCTGGCCGTAGGACGTAACGCATAAGATATGGAAGTACCCAGCGGAGGAAAATGTCCAGGTGTTGCAAACGCAGAACCCTAATTGATGAACAAGATGCTGTTGCAACAGGCAAGAATGTCAGTCTGTTCTAAAGGCAATACTTGAGAAAGTATCTACAACAGAAGTCTTGAGAGCTCGATAAGCTCAAACTCAAGATTAGTCTTGCCCAGTAGAATTGCCATTTTTCACGTTCTTGGTGTGCTACGCTATGGGATGTTACTTCTCGTCGAGTTCTCATGAGCTTGGAACCGTTCTTTAGATGCAATTCAACAGCTCAGTGAGTGAGCTGTGTCTGATGGCTCATAATCGTAGTGTCTTATTGCGCCTCGATGTTTAGAGTTACAGGACCTGTACAATAGTACTTCTTACGATAATAGTTATTTGTCGGCCCTGACCCGGCCTAGACGCGAGTACGCTTGGTAACTGCAGGTTTACACTCGGTGAATGGCAGAGTTAGTCACTAAGATCATATATCTACATCGCGTCGATATATGCTGGGTTGAAGGATCACTGTATATGGTTGTAAGACTTGCCATTGAAGCAAAGGCCACAACCTCCATGTCCTTAGACTCGAGGATTGAAGACAAGAGGAATCCTCTATGGACACTAATCATGAAAAGGCCAGAAGGGAAAAAGCAAGCAGTATCCATTGAAAAGACATACAAAGCCCTAACACCCTTATTTCTCCTGCAGAAATGCAATGATAACTCATCTATCACAAAATCTCTCCAATCTGTGCAACATCCTCTTTCCAAACAACCCAATTCCTATCCTCAAAAAACGCTCAGAATCCTCACTCCTTTTCCTCAACTGGTTTGGCATCAGCCGCATCACTGCGTGTGGCATTCATTGCAATGTCACCGATCTTCACGATCTCCCACTCTCTCCAGCCGGGGACCAGCTCCTTCTCTACCATCACAAAATTGCGACCCATGCCCTCCCCCTCCGCATGGTAATTGGAGGGGAAGAAAGGATTTCTTAGCTCTCGTCCCTTTTGCACGGGGTACGGCAGGAGAAAGGCCTGTTTCCCCAGGTAGCCCTGGTCATGGAGTCGTTGCACCAGTTCTGCGAGCTGCGTCGCGTATGGATAACCCTGTACCGTTGCCGGGGTCTCCGTCGCGCCGATGAACCAGTTTTCTTCATTTCCGCATTTGAGAACGGTGAAGCGGTAGGAATGCTCGCCGTCGACGCGGGAGTCTGATGTTCTGCTGTGGCGCTTGATAGTGCGGCCATAGTAGCCAGTGATGCGCCTGAGGTTGAATAGCGTATCCTCGCCCTTTCTGTGCTTGAAGGTAGAGGCGTGCTGCTTACTTAGCCATGCATGTCTTGCAAGAAAGGAATGGGACGGGTGACATACGTTTTGGAAATGGAAGTGGAGCACAATCCACTGGTCTCGTTTGTGACGCTGGTACTTCGCCGCGTCTGCCCCCAGTGTCCCTATTTCGGTACCAATCCAGTACCCGATTTCTAGTAATGGGCCCTGGTATCTTCCTCCTCCTCGGGCATCTGAGTAATCTTCCCACCTTGCACTATGCAAGGTGAGGCCGCCATCAAGCGCCCCTGTAGGATGTCCCCAAGCGGGGCATCCCTTCGGGGCCTTCCGGGGCTTGACTCGGTGCCTGCGTTCTATGAGACTTGATACAATCCTTGAGGTTAGGGCTTCTCACCAGTCTCGTAGCTTGACGCCCCGAAGCTACTGAGGGAGCTTTGTTGCCCTTGGGAAATCCTTCTGCGGTGGAAGGGAATCGGTGCGCTAGCCATGGCAGGTCAACCCGTCGACAACTAGTGTCTTGACGCTGCGTTTGTATGAAATGAAATATCTCGAAGATGTCAAGGCTCTTGATGCTGATGTATGTATCATAAGCTGATAGCTGAGTATCGTGATACTCGATATATGGAATGGGGAGGGGAGTAGAGTTGAAGAAGTATAAGCAGTCATATCTTGTATACTCCATACAATAGCCTGAGGCTATCCAACCCTCCATTATCTATAGAAAACCAGTTATTAGACGGGAATATCCGCTTGTTGAGCGAGCTGTCTCGGGGCATGACTGCTTGATGTATACCACGAAACGGAGATATCCGGTCGTCGTGGTCATCTGTCTCGAGGTGACGCTGTCGTATACTCGCCAGTGAATTACTGGCAGTTTGGATATGAGGGAGATACTGGCAATCATGTATGTACATTGTATTCTAGGCTCCTGTCGACTGGCTGCAGATGAGGAAAGTGGAAGGGCATCGAGACGTGGAATGGTTTGCATGGTTTCACACTCGGCCTGGAATGAGTACTATATGGAATACTTGTCTGCGGGCTTATACTCAAGTAGAAAGTGAAGCTCCAGTCGCCTGAGACGTGCGGCTAGTAGTAAGGTCAAGTCATGATAGACTGGGGCGGATGGCATGTAGATTACTATTCACCAGCCAAGAATATCAATTGATGAAGGAAGGAAGGAATGAAGATGCTGATATTGCTACCTATCTAAGAGAGAGAGGGCTGGGCTATATACCCTAGTAGATAGCCCTAGCAAACACGGAAGAATGGTTAGGCTGTCTGACAAAGAGCAGAGCCTCCAAGAAAAGAGTCTTTGTGAGAATGCCAGCTAAAGATGATGGGTGTGTAGGTATGCATGCTACTCGAATGACAGTAGCCTGCACTCTAAAGCCAACAGCTATATACCTGACTAATTCGAACCGATAGAAGCAATGATCGATACATTGACAAAATAAGAGACCGATGGTATACCGCCAATAGCACAATCAACTCGAGTAGAACAAACCCAACTGAGAAGCGATAAATGTATGTTGTAGCTGCCCGGCCCATGAGACCACGGAAACCTACCCCCTCATATTCAACGAAAGAGTTCATTCATAGACCTATATTTCCCAGACGTGAATAAGCGAGCTGATAAGCTCTGAGTCGTTGGCAGGCTCCCCTGTGGCTCTGGACTGGTCGTCATTTAGTTGTAATGGGCGGGTGCAATAGCGCAGAGCCTCTGAAGTCGGGGAGTTACAGCGCACATGGTGTTGTCGATGAACTAGGGATACGAGATGCCATGTTACAGTTTATCTTTTGTGTCAAGGTCTAGGCAATGACTTCTCACTTCTCAGGAACTTGATCATCATATCCGGGGAGAGCTCAAGGGCTTACGAAGACACGGGACGAGATCTTGTACAACTCTTTCATATGCTGCAGCACGGAGCAAGGTAAGCGTTTGAGCTAGTGTACTTGATTATAGACGAACCGGCTGTCTAGCGTCAGAGACGACACAACTCCAAAGCTATCCTACAGTCCAGCAACATACACCCCCGTCAGTTCACCTCGTCAGGTACCACACACTAGATATACTCCCAAGCCGCAGCCCCAGAAGCATTAACCGGCACCGCCAAAGCATCAAACCCCAGGCATCCAGCCCCAGCCGTGCCATTCGCAACCGCCGCATAAACCTGCCAGTGCGTGGCCGTCCCGTTCCTCCGGGGACAAGCCACGAACCCACTCGCCCCCTGGCCCGTGTACGTGAAGTGCCCGAACTGCGGGCCGGGGGTATACGCGAACGGACCGGTGGATGAGCCGGGCGGGATGTAGCCCGAGTGAGGCGTGGTGAAGCGCAGGGCCCCGCGGGGGTCGACGTAGATGCGCTGGCCGCCGGGGACGGCGACGTCCTGGAGTTGGGTTAGTGGGTGGTGGACTGGGGATGGAAGGGGAGAGGGGAAGTACCAGGGCAGTCTCGCTGGCGAAGCGGGTGGATGTGCCTGGGGGACAGCCGCCCAGTTGCTCGATGTTCTCCGGGCAGTAGGTGGAGGGGGACTCGCCGAGCCAGAAGCCGCCGTGGGCGGCGTTCATGGGGAGGAAATGGATGGGCGAGGCGGAGCGGGCGGACATGACGGAGAATTTGCTGTTGGCATTGCTGTTGCCATTGCTGCGGGTGGGGATGCTGGCGGCAGAGGCCAGGGTGAGGAGAGAGAAGAGAGCTGGGATCTTCATTTTTAATCCTTGTAGTTGTAGTTGTAGCCGTACAAAGATGGTGGGTAGGATTGCTGTTCAGATGTTGAGAGTACGGAGGAGGTTTATATACCATCCTCTCCAGCACTAACTGGATCAAGCACGACGTGCTGGAAAAACCAGATGTCTGATCAGCAAACGCGAAACTCCATTTCATCATCCCGGATCCATTTCTTCTGCCGCGAGACAGACGCCTTGCCCCATGCAGCATCTCGAGCGCCCATCTCCACTTGGCCCTGACGATCCTTCTCGGTCTCCGTCTCTATTCTACCGCGGGCCCTGGCAGTTGCTAAGATTGAAACAGATAGACGGCTGATCATGCTACATTGTTGCGGTACACGGCACGGATAATCAGGTTTTTCGGTAGAGTACGAGAGAGAAATGATCCGGCAATGGACATGGCCGAAGGTGCAGAAAGGACGATGATCGACAGTACTCCACTCCGTGTCTCGGAATGAGTACCCTTCTAGTCAATCAATAGCTTCAAACCCTGGGCTCTGCCATTGGACAATAGTCAGTAATAGCCCCTCAGGGTCCAGTGCTTCGCCTCTCGCTGCCGAAAACTCACCGTTGAGCTGGAAGGTTCGGCACCGCCACAGATCCACTCTGGCGCTCATGGCAATAAGAGCGTGTTTGATTGCTGAGAATAGCCTGCTGTGGCATTGCTTGATCTATTCCATGTTTGACATTGTATGTACAAGAGTTAGTCTATAGAACTGGTAAAACTCAATACTCCCCCATCAATGGCAGATCGCGAGAACTCCGTCCCACCCATATCTGGAATTTGCCCTCCGGCATCACCCAGTTCTGCTCGCGCGT